ATGTACGCTCAACTTGCTATACAAGAAAATCTGTTGTAGTTTACCAGAAGTGTGTTCAAACCATATCATCATTGGGTGAGAAAGGTCTGTTAAGAATTACCTCAGTAAGTCAGTCACAAAGACGTTGCGTCGTAAAACATTTATATCAAGTACAAGACATCAAAATGGCTGACACGATAAACGTTATAGGAGATATTTCCAAAGCTGTTAATGAACCTGTGGCAGTTACATGTGTTAGTCGTATTTGATCAGTTGGTCAATCATTGAAAGGTGATTTTAAAGATGTGTCAAATAGATACTAAGGTAAATTCATAGATTGCTGTACACTGTAACTGTCAGTCTTACTGAGACAAGGATCGATACTACGATAGGGCCTAGGCTTAGTAGATGTGGATTTCAGCGTTGGGTTCACTAGGATAGGTCGTAGCAGGGATATTCGTGAATGATCTTGCAGTCCAACTCCCTGATGTTCCTCAATGTATGCTTAAACACTGAGTTCAAGATTAAACGGTCTAAATGATCACAAACAATGCATTTGTATTTATTCAATCAAGGGAATTTCCAGGTGTTTCGCCAGGAATATGGAAGTACCCGTCAGTGTTTACATCATTTCATGAATACAGTGTAGTGATTAACGTATGAATGTCAAATTGTGTCGTTCATACGCTTATGAATGTCAGTTTCGCGGTCATGTGACCGGCCTCTCTTGTGTTGGTTGGTTGGTTGGTTGTTTTATGCCGCACTTAGCAATATTCCAGCTATATGACGGCGGTCTGTAAATAATCGAGTCTGGACCAGACAATCCAGTGATTAATATCATGAGCATCGATCCACGCAATTGGGATCGATGACATGCATCAACCAAGTCAACGACCACCCGATCCCGTTAGTCGCCTTTTACAATAAGCATAGTCGCCTTTTACGGCAAGCTATTATTTTAATGTCAGGTGCTGGTCATGACCCCAATGTTGAAGATTAACATAAGATTTGCTCTGGAACAAGACCTCAAGGACCACAGAGCCCCTTTTCTTTTCCTTTATAACGGCACTATGAAAACCTTCTGAAAATGCTAAGTGGTTTTGTAATGTTTTTAAACAATATGATGCAGCAACAAAAGATATGGACATGATGGAAGATACACCCTTTTGATCATCATTCAACATGTTAGTATGACATCTATTCTTTGTCTACCAAATGGACCCACAAGACCCTACATACAAAATAGAATGCCCCCAAACCACAGTGACAGAGCAAGGAAGTACATTCTCAAACTAACTGACAGAGTTGGTGTGAGTAACACCAAGTTGTACTGCTCTCCGAGGGCTGAGTTTCCTGTTTTGTACCACAAGGTCAGTCAGCTGCGTCTCCATCTCACATCAGGTACAGGTATTGGGCAATACTGTTTGGCCTGGTCACATGACAAGGACGGGGCGGACAAGCTCACAGGTAAACCTGTCAACACACACCTGTTACTGGTCTTCACTCTGTATTTCTATATGTTGGATGCTGTTGTGTTACGGTCATGATTATCAGCTGCTTATATCGTGTGCATGGTTGCAGACATTTTATGTCAGTCATTTGTATCGTTAAGGAGAATCAGGAAGAAAATTGTAAGGGTCTTATTTGCTTGTTGTCTCTGAAATCAATATTTGGATTGTGGTAATATTGTAATCATTATGTTGACGAGTATAGATTGTACTGTATAACTATTTGCGTTTTTTTAAATTGTGATATGTGTGGCAGCCTCAAGACATGATCTCATTCTCTGAGAAGTAATTCAGTGTTCACGTTAGGCTGTGTCTCTGTTTTTCATTTTTCATAAAGTGATAAGTTCAGCAGTAGAAACTAATATTTTTAGTCCACTAGTCCTCATAATGATAACATATATAGCAAATCCCTTAAAAATGGCAAATTTCTACTAGTCCTTATGATACCTTAACTATTGGGCAGTCTTCAAGGAGTACAAGACTAGTGTCAATTTCTAACCCTGAAGTATGTGGAAAATATCAGCTGTGCTAGTGGCAGTGTCCATGAACATACTGAAAATGGAAGGAATACCTAAGGGACTGGTCATTTATGTATGGGAGGGGGTGCTGATGAGATTAAGGAGGGGGGCTCATGAAAAAAATGTTACAAAATATGAAACAGTCCTAAGACCAATCTGCCCACCCGTCCCCACCTCTCCCCCTCATTTTTAAAGTCCCTGAGGCATGGGCAATGTGAAGTAACGTGCTTCAAGGTTTGCTTTTCTAAAGATACTGGTGCTTTTGACCAACACTGAAGTGTTATCTACAGCTCTATGTAGCCGTGCCCTGTTGGTCACAGGTTTGTCTGGTCCAGACCTGATCACCCAACAACACTGAAGTGTTATCTACAGCTCTATGTAGCCGTGCCCTGTTGGTCATAGGTTTGTCTGGTCCAGACCTGATCACCCAACAACACTGAAGTGTTATCTACAGCTCTATGTAGCCGTGCCCTGTTGGTCATAGGTTTGTCTGGTCCAGACCTGATCACCCAACAACACTGAAGTGTTATCTACAGCTCTATGTAGCCGTGCCCTGTTGGTCACAGGTTTGTCTGGTCCAGACCTGATCACCCAACAACACTGAAGTGTTATCTACAGCTCTATGTAGCCGTGCCCTGTTGGTCATAGGTTTGTCTGGTCCAGACCTGATCACCCAACAACACTGAAGTGTTATCTACAGCTCTATGTAGCCGTGCCCTGTTGGTCACAGGTTTGTCTGGTCCAGACCTGATCACCCAACAACACTGAAGTGTTATCTACAGCTCTATGTAGCCGTGCCCTGTTGGTCATAGGTTTGTCTGGTCCAGACCTGATCACCCAACAACACTGAAGTGTTATCTACAGCTCTATGTAGCCGTGCCCTGTTGGTCATAGGTTTGTCTGGTCCAGACCTGATCACCCAACAACACTGAAGTGTTATCTACAGCTCTATGTGGCCGTGCCCTGTTGGTCACAGGTGTGTCTGGTCCAGACCTGATCACCCAACAACACTGAAGTGTTATCTACAGCTCTATGTAGCCGTGCCCTGTTGGTCACAGGTTTGTCTGGTCCAGACCTGATCACCCCCAAACCAGGAACAACCCTAAAGTGTGATCTGCAGCTCTGTGTGGCCGAGCTGTGTTGGTCACAGGTTTGTCTGGTCCAGGCATCCCAGCTTCCTCTGACATAGTGGAAACATTATTGACTTTTTCCCACCCCCATTGTGTTCTGTTCAAGATAAACATTCTCCTTTCTTCTGCTGTTAATAATTCATAGTAAATCAATAGTCAAATGAGCATGATTTTTTTAGTTTTAGGTTTCAGCTCCATAAATACATAAATACTGGGTACTACCAAGAACTAAAGTACTCACAGAAATGAAAAAAACCTGTTTTTTCGATCTGAGATTTTAAATAAATGCAGTTAATATACAAAATATATAAATATTCAAACAACTCAATTAGTACTAATTGGGCCTTGGTAAAAGTGTGTAAAAATATGAACAAAACACACTATTGTGAAACTGAGCATTACCAGGTGTTAGTAGATCAAGGTGAATGTCCATGACCTATGACACCTTGATGACAGGTGAAAACAGGTGCTTGAAACCCACGTGCATGTGATTGTCAGTGGTTAGTGATTTGTGATTTGCATTGTGGGATAGTGAATCATCGTCAAAATATCAGAACGTAAAAGTAACATATTCCCTTCTCAAACAACAACTTACATGTCATTATTATTATGTACATAAACATAGCTGTTATTTTTATTGTTGTTTTGATAACTTTTTTCCAGGCTAATTTGCATAATGCCTATAGCCTGTTTCTGCCATGTCAATTTGGACTTAGTTTTATTTTTGAATGTTGAAAGTGCCTACAAATTACCTCCTGTAAAGTACATTTTGTATTGAGCACTGAGATAAAACTAGCAAATCCAGACTAGTACTTTTCCAGTTGTTTTGTTATTTTGTATTTACATCTACGTAATGCTTTGTGTCGATTATTAAATCCAGCAAAACAGGTTTTTTTCATTTCCATGAGTACTTTAGGGTTAAGATGATACACTAACAGTGTGATCCGATACGTATCCCGATACCTTGCTCACGATCCGATACATATCATGACACTTGCATGTGCTCTTATCTGTGGTGCGTAAGCCCTCTTTTTCATAGACAGGATGGCCAAATACCTGGCACACTGACGATATACAGTTTAGCAGTGTCAAATGTGGAGCAATGGATGAAACTACTTATGTTTTAACTGCTAAGTTTCACTATTCCTTAGTGTTTGGCGTAACAGTTTTTAAAGAAAGCATTTAAGGTAAGAGAAGTAAAAAACGTGATGCATCTGTGTATCATCTTACTACTCTCAAGCACACTATTCGATATCACTAGTATGCAACTATATTTTCTTTATAGCCACAACATCTTAATTAATTCAGTTTAATTGACTGCCGGTTACACAGGTGAAACCACATTGAGAGTAGAGCGGGACATGGATACCCTATTCCTACTCTGCAACCAATCGGTTGGTTCTACCTCTACGAGTCGACTGTAGAGTAGAGATGTACATGGAGTACCCTATCCCTACTCTGCCACCTATCGGTTAGTTCTACCTCTGCTAGTCTGCCTGTATAGTAGAGATGTACATGGATACCCTATCCCTACTCTGCCACCTATCGGTTAGTTCTACCTCTGCTAGTCTGCCTGTATAGTAGAGATGTACATGGATACCCTATCCCTACTCTGCCACCTATCGGTTAGTTCTACCTCTGCTAGTCTACCTATATAGTAGTGATGTACAGGGGTTCCCTATCCCTACTCTGCCACCTATCGGTTAGTTCTACCTCTGCTAGTCTACCTGTAGAGTAGAGATGTACATGGGGTACCTTATCCCTCCTCTGCCACCAAACGGTTAGCTCTACCTCTGCGAGTCGACTGTGGAGTAGGGCTGTATTGATCTTTGCTGACATACTTATTCAAGCCGTGACAAAATGGCTGATCCAGGTAGAGGTTGGCACTATCACTGTCATTGTGGTCTCCTTTGTGTGCCTGTTTCTATGTATGTTGGGGCTCCTAATACAAATTGATTGTGTGATGGTGTGCATGGTGTACAACTCTCACCTGAATACTGCCCTGCACTTGTGGTAAAAGTGTGTTCACAATGGATATTCACCTGGTCGAGGCACCATAGTACGGTTTAGAACTGATGGAATGTGTTTGTCTTCGAGGTAATCCAGGTAAGCAGCACCAATGGTAATCCCAAATGGTTGTGTCTGGTCTGATTGTACCACTTATAACATCATTAAGATCATTCATCTTTGTATTTTAGTATTTTATATCTTTCAATTCTTATTGTCAGCTTTCTTTTTTGTATTGAGACAAAGATGGCAGTGTATTTCAGAATAATATTTTAGGACTTGAAAACGGTTTGTTTACAACTGGATTGTTTCTTCTGAAAAGGAAGGCTCAAAACTGTTTTTAATAAAGGCAAGCATGTATCAAGTGTCTGTATTTCTGAGGCACTACATTTTTTTTAGGGAACATGATATACTTATTACTTCCTTCATGTGCTATCAGAGGCATATGATCCGAGTCAATGACACTACATCTATATCGAAGAGCCAGCCAGGATATTTCAGGTCCTTGACTGAATATTAAAGGTACCGTGTGTTGTTGGTAATCAATTCTGTGTCATAACTCACAATGCAATTATAGAGATCAGGTGCCGAGGCTATTCAAACAGGTATTATCTAAGCATTTTGCCTTGGGGAAATTATATGGTTGGATCAGATAATTATAACATTGAAGTCTGTAATCAGTTGTAATATGTGTAATGGGTTAATTATATATGTATGTGTTTCTATTCATTTCCTTTCCTTGCAAAATTTGACTTGAGTGTGTCATTGTAGAAGTAATATTTGACTTAGTTGGGTTTGGGTAGGAATAATGAAGAAGATAAGGACAATACTGAAACCTGAGAATATCTGAAGCCTATAACCGACTGATGCCTAATGCCAGATCAGAATTTAGATGTGATAATTTGACCATGTTTAGCTATGATCTATTGTCATGTTTTGTGGTGTGTGCTGTAACTTAGGGATTGGTTACTCATGGTGTTGTGGTACACTTCAGCGTGGATGATGATTTGATCTGATTGCAAAAACTAACTAAGAGTGGTGTTAGGAATAGCTGTAAAGAAAAATATTTTCCTCTGGGGATTCTCCATTTTTATCATATGAGTTGACATCTTTGAACTGACTGAGATATGGATTTGGTTGTCGCAGAGTTTGATCTGACTGAGATAAGGATTTGGTTGTCACAGAGTTTGAACTGACTGAGATAAGGAGTTGGTTGTCACAGAGTTTGATCTGACTGAAATAAGGAGTTGGTTGTCACAGAGTTTGATCTGACTGAGATAAGGATTTGGTTGTCACAGAGTTTGAACTGACTGAGATAAGGAGTTGGTTGTCACAGAGTTTGAACTAACTGAGATAAGGAGTTGGTTGTTGCAGAGTTTGAACTGACTGAGATAAGGATTTGGTTGTCGCAGAGTTTGATCTGACTGAGATAAGGATTTGGTTGTCGCAGAGTTTGATCTGACTGAGATAAGGATTTGGTTGTCGCAGATTTGATCTGACTGAAATAAGGAGTTGGTTGTCGCAGAGTTTGAACTGACTGAGATAAGGATTTGGTTGTCACAGAGTTTGATCTGACTGAGATAAGGAGTTGGTTGTCACAGAGTTTGATCTGACTGAGATAAGGATTTGGTTGTCACAGAGTTTGAAACTGACTGAGATAAGGAGTTGGTTGTCACAGAGTTTGAACTGACTGAGATAAGGGTTATGTTGTCATGGAGTTTGATCTGACTGAGATAAGGAGTTGGTTGTCACAGAGTTTGATCTGACTGAGATAAGGATTTGGTTGTCACAGAGTTTGAACTGACTGAGATAAGGAGTTGGTTGTCACAGAGTTTGAACTGACTGAGATAAGGGTTATGTTGTCATGGAGTTTGATCTGACTGAGATAAGGATTTGGTTGTCACAGAGTTTGATCTGACTGAGATAAGGAGTTGGTTGTCACAGAGTTTGATCTGACTGAGATAAGGATTTGGTTGTCACAGAGTTTGAACTGACTGAGATAAGGAGTTGGTTGTCACAGAGTTTGAACTGACTGAGATAAGGGTTATGTTGTCATGGAGTTTGATCAGACTGAGATAAGGATTTGGTTGTCACAGAGTTTGATCTGACTGAGATAAGGATTTGGTTGTCACAGAGTTTGAACTGACTGAGATAAGGAGTTGGTTGTCACAGAGTTTGATCTGACTGAGAGTATACATTGCTACTGTACCCTGGCAGCTCCTGTTGTTGGTGTGATGTGATGTTATGACCAGTGATTCAACTGTCTCAGTTTGACTTGGATATCTGTTGTAGCATGATGTGGACAGACACATGGGAATGGACATTGTTTCTTTGTTTGTTGTCTATCTCTGCACTCAGCCATATTCCAGCTGTATGATAGCTATCTGTTAATAATCAGGTCTGGACCATACAATCCACTGACTGACATGAGCAATGACATGTAACAACCAAGTCTATCCTTTTAGTCGCCTCTTCCGAAAAGCATTGGTTGCTGAAAACCAATTCTAACCAATTCTATCTCAGATCTTCACGGATTGCATGGGTATAGATGAAGATTAGAATTTTCCGCTGATCCACAGATTTCGTTTAGGGTCACTTTTGTTGTGTTGTACACCCCATAACAATATGTATATAAATCATGAAGGTCCCCCCCCCCCCGACACACACACACACACACCGGGATAACTTTCAGTGTGTTTTGGAAATAACCTGTACTCATCCCTGTATTAGTGATGATGATGTTGACCTGTGGGCACTCCTCCACACGTTAAGATGGTGACTGCTGAGGTCAGAGCAAATACTGTAACTTTGTTGTTATAAAGAAGAACCTTATTTGAGGTTGGTCCCCTTATATTTGTTATAAGGCGACTTACAATTATGACAGTGTAGCCTTGAATGTTTGTTTCTGGACGAAGTGTAAATTGTATTTCAGTACATGTATTACTAAAGTCCTCAGAGTTTGTAGTTGACTCTTGCTTTAACTATGTTTACATATTTTCTCTTTATTCAATTCCAATTTGAAGCAAAATTGAAGCATTGAAGAACTGTTTCAGAGTAATGGCCCCCAAATGCTACCAGTCAATTAGGACTACCATCAATTTATTTGACCTCATCACAATATGGAAATTTCCGGCTGGTTGACTTAAGTCAATTTTGAAGGTGTGTGACAATATAGGGACATGTGATACTTCACATAACGCACTATGATACGATACGTAACACCATGAATTGCTATATGATGCTGGGAATGACATACAGTATTTCACGATATATCCTACATGATATAGATTGGGTGACTCCTCGAACAGATTTTTATTCAGCCTTTGATGTAATAGTGCTACTCAAACAAAGTTAAAGAACACCTGAGTTTTTCATGACTATGTGAAGCATGGCCTGACAGACTTACCATGGTATGACAAAAATTGGGTGTTCTTTAACTTCTTATGAGTGGTATATGTGCCATTTTATGGATTTGTTTGATGGGATGTTTAAGATTTCCAATCGGATATTTTTGTTTGTTTTATTTACAAAAGTAAATGTACGACCACACTGCTGTGTGTCATGGCTGCCTTCTGTTGTGAATTGTGTTACATCCACTACCAGCTAGTTTCATGGCCACCTTCTATCTCTTCGTGTTATTTATCACATTTTTCACCTGGGATGTTGCGGCAGATATAACATTCATACCCCACAGGCATAGCCGTACAAACTCAGGACTACATTAGACACAGGTGGAGGAGAAGTTGACAGAGAGGGAACACACAATATGTGCAGTGTAGGAGTATTCAGGCATCAGAAAAAAGTAGCTGCTTAATATCTCTAATGACTACACATCCACAAATGTAGGACAGTTCAAGCATGACCGTGACATGCTGACCTTCTCCCAGCAGGACAACAGGTAATTTCAGGGCACAGCAGGGGGGACAACTCACACAGGGGTACAGTCATGCTGTGTCTGACTGTTGCTACCAGTTCTTTCAAGGACATGAACGTTGTGAATGGGTCTATTACTGTTGAAAAAATCAGGCTAGGTAATATTGTTGTATCACTGTTTGAGATTGTAATGAACAGGATGAAACTTGGGTTTCCTGTGTTGCCCAAAGTGGTGTGTCAGTGCAGGTCATGCTTGTGGTCATGCTTGTGGCCATGCTCCATGACATGATACATTCTTATTGGGATTGGGCTGCGGACTGATAGTGACAATGTTATCAATGAAGATCTGAGGGTTGGTTGATATGTTCTGACATAGCAGGAGTTCTGTAATAGTGAAATCTTTTGTAGTGGACATTACATGCTGTAATGGGACCCGTGAAGATCCAGGGTAGAGTAGGTCTTCAGCAAGCCATGCTTGTCTCCCCCCGTGAAGATCCGGGGTAGAATAGATCTTCAGCAACCCATGCTTGCCATAAAAAGCGACTGACTATGCTTGTCGTAAGAAGCGACTAAAGTGATCGGGTAGTCAGGCTCGCTGACTTGAATGATGCCTCTCATCGTATCCCAATGGTGTAGATAGATGCTCATGATGTCAATCACCAGATAGATGACAATATACAGTCTACTACTGTCACTGCACAGTTCAAACTGAAAGAAATGGTTAAGTGAACCGTCACTTGCAAACTTGATAGGTTCACATTGATCATTTTGGATAATCCAGTATATTATGTCTCCATTTTAATAGGACCTTGGACCCATTTTCCACCTTTGCTTTGTTTTCGGAAGTGACATCACAAGCTTCATCGAATTTCTCCCACTTATATACTTGCTATCAACAACCAATCAAATGCTTTTGTAAACATGAGTTAGCCTAGATTGACATTCAAAAACACAGCCTCGTCACATGTATTTAGTCTGAATTAGAAGACTGTTATAACATACATCAAGTCTTGTTATTCCGACACTTGTTAATCCGACAATTGGCTTTATCCGACACTAATGATGGGAACCGATTAAATCAGTGCTATTTAGTCCCGTTAATCCGACAGTCTCGCACTCCGACTCCGACTCACATAATTTGCAACGAATTACCGAAATCACTCATTAATCAGTCTCGTTAATCCGACACAGTGATCAGCGTACTCCGTGGTCATCTGCCCGCGAGTACACCGCCCCATGTTTTGATGCGAGACGAGTCGGCGTCTCTCACTCAGTAGCTGCATATTTCAACGGCTGCAGAGATAAATTTGCTTAACAATAAACAGTTACTGATTTAATTAAACAAAATGGGATTAATCACATGCCTTGATTACCTCAATCTCATTAAATCGGATACAAGTTCTTGCTACCACTGAGGACATCCCATTACAGATCACGTCAGATTGACCTTTCGCAAACTTTGACCAACCAATAAATTACAAACAGAAAGTCAACATTAGCCACTAAGAAAGCAGCTTTCTTAAGAATTGCGGCACTATTTTCAAATTGACGGATTCCACTCCATATGCTTTAAAAAGTATGTCGAATCAGTCATACATTAGAAACATATGATTAGAAAACATATACCGCTAACAATGTAACATAACAATATGAATACTGCCTTTTCCCTCTTTATTTATTATAACGTATTTGAATCGTTGTCTATCGTGTTGTTGTCCGATTTTCGATCACGAACGTTGATACCACCTAATTACGTTTATCAGACATACTCGTTACTACAACATAATCATATGCAACCAACAGTGTCGGATTAACAGGACTTGACTGTATATAAGTTAACATTTAGCATGAAAAGATATTTTCTTGGGAGGGAGGAACGTTCTTTTGATCAAATTGGTTTGGTTTGGTTTGTTGTTTAACGCCGCACTCAGCACTATTCCAGCTGTATGACGGCGGTCTGTTAATAATTGAGTCTGGACCAGTTTGGCTCAAATCATACCATAGTTATTGAAAACTAAACATACATGATCTACATGTATTGCAATGTTAAGTTTTGTTGCGTAGAAGTACCCACTTGGTGATATTGGTCACTGGGCTAATCTCTAGTAGGTTGACTATATTGGGTCACCGAGATCATTGTTGATGACACATGCACCATACTTTATCTGTCATGAGAGTGTAGTGGGCGTGTCCACAAGGGATGTTAATGCATATGTTGACAGGTGAAGTAATTACTTGTTTCAAGGTTCTTGTGTTTTTTGCTGATAAACGAGATAAACAGTTGTAGGCCTCCACATTCCTTTGACACTAAGATATTGTTTTTGTGAGTGTGATATAAGGGCAACAAAGCAAAGGCTTCTTTGAATACGATGTTTTGTGTACATATTCAGACAGGTTACAGAATTAATTGTAGTTGTATATATTCTGTCTGGCCACAGTCAGATTTCATGGACTAGTCACCTGCTGTTTTACAATTTAGTTAACTATTCACATGCAGAAGTCCAAAATATAGTTTTTAGTGATTGCAACACAGGACACGACCCCTGGGAGTGAGTGTAAGCATAGGGGAGCCTTTGGGGGTGGTTGAATTCGGGGTACAGATAAGTGAATACCAACGTAGATACAGGAAGATAGGTCGTGCTAGTTGTACACACATACCTCCGGCCCATGGCTGAGTTTGCTAGCGAGTCACTCCCATCGTACGATAAGTATTTCGCAATATATTGATATTGTGGTATTACAAGCCCTGAAGTAGGACAGTTGGATTTGAGTGTTTATAGTCTGAAGACCATGCAATGTAAGTACATGTATTTTTCAAATGGGAAGCTGTTCTATTCCACCAGTGGTCATCTGTCCTGCCCACAGGGCACTCTGTTCAACAGGTCCTGTATATTGAGAGGTTATGAATCTCACTGCTGCTTTCACATCATTTTGTGCTTTTTTCCTGAGAACGATTATTGATTAGAATTGTTGTACCTGTATTCAGAAAACAATTATTTTACTGTTTGTCCCAGTTTCAACATTTTAGTTGCTTTTTTAAATGTTCAGTTTAGCTTATTACATTGTATTCTATGTTCCAGTGAGTGTTGACTTCCTTACGTGGAGGGTTGTGAAAATATTTGTTGCTTGTCTAATTTGAAATAGAATATTTTAGTGAAAGAATGATACTTATCATCTTAAGTCTAATAATGTTGAAAACAAAATTGATATTACATTCTGGGATGAGGGTAATATTAGAGGTATCTTCTCATTGAATATTACCCACTCAGCAGACAGCCGAAGACATTGGTCATCACATTGATCTGAGTTTACCATTCCCCATATGTGCTGTCAATATGCTGAGCATTCAAGGATAAATAGCTTGGAACTGTACTCTAATGTGTGTATCATGGGTTGAAAAGACCTTGAAAATTCTTCACCCAAAGCTGCATGAAATTTGATAAACATCGATAGGCCCTGGAAATTAAGGATGATGGTGCCAACATGTGTTAATTATGTTTGTTTGCTTTCAGCTGTGCTTGAGTGGGAGCTACTGACATGTTGATACGGAAAACCCCCTAGGCGCTGCTCATCCAACAAGGTATGGTGGAGAGGGGTGGGGACTTCTCCTGGGATGCCCAGATTACTGAGGAAATATGATGGACATGTTCAAATGACAATTTGTCAGTCCATTTTATTATTGCAACACTTTGTAACATTGGAGATTTATATGATATTATGTGATGTTTTTAATGTTTTATTATCACAAATCTATCATGTGGAATTCTCATACCCAAATGTACTGCTCTCTGTTTCATTGAAATTGAATTCCTTTGAGCTTGCACAATGTTCATGTCAGCTTGCTTATGGATATAAATAATGTTGCTAGAGTGATAATGGCTTGGCATTTTGCCGACTGCGATACTGTCATCTAAGCCTGGGAAGGCAGCATGACATACACATCTCTGCTTGCTATTAGGAGTGGAGTTTGATTTCCCATGAGAGAAAGTGAAAGTTACCTCCCCTTAGAACCTCTCATATCAAGCTTTGTATTAGCATACAAATATGAACATAGAAATATGCAATGAACTTTTATCATGTTTACGAATGATGTGTCTGGCGTTTTGTTGACATTACATAATACAGTTGGTGACAGTGACGAGACGGGGGTGCTGACAATGACAGGACAGGGGGTGCTGACAGTGACGGGATGGGGGTGACAGTGACGGGATGGGTACTGACAGTGACGGGATGGGGGTGACAGTGACGGGATGGGTGCTGACAGTGATGGGATGGGATAGGGGGTGACAGTGACGGGATGGGGGGGGGTGACAGTGACAGGATGGGTGCTGACAGTGACGGGATGGGGGATGACAGGGATGGGGGATGACAGTGACGGGATGGGGGATGACAGTGACGGGATGGGGGTTGACAGTGATGGGATGGGTGCTGACAGTGATGGGATGGGTGCTGACAGTGACGGGATGGGGGGTGCCAGTGGACAGGACGGGTGCTGACAGTGATGGGAGGGGATGCTGACAGTGACGGGATGGGGGTAACAATGACAGGATAGGGGGTGCTGACAGTGATGGGATGGGTGCTGACAGTGATGGGTTGAGGGGGAGGGGGTGGCAGTGATGGGATTGGTGTTGACAGTGATGGGTAGGGGATGCCTACAGTGATGGGATGGTGGGTGACAGTGATGGGTAGGGGATGCTGACAGTGATGGGATGGTGGGTGACAATGACTGGATTGGGGTGGTGGAGGTGTTGTTGGAGCCCATGTTGGAGCAGGCCTGATGTCTGTCCCACAGCTGCTGGGATCTGTTGGTTGTAGATCTGCTGATTTTCCTCGTTAAAATTTCTTGGTATATAAGCACCACACCATGGTGCAGTCGGCCATCATATACATGTATACACAGAATAGAATGCACTGTTTTATTTAGAACCGGCCTGTCCCTGGTTGGAGAGCCGCACCACAACCACCTCTGTTGGTGCAGTCGCCCATCATGTATACACTGAATAGAATAGACTAGCACATCATCAAACACAAGTTTGAAAGAGCTGCTTCCTTCGAGGACAATACCCAGCAATGGAGAGATATTGATCAAATGTGATAGTCCAGACCATGGATACGCTAAATATTTGGATGCACAATTTACACTGGGCGAACCTGTCAGCCTTTGTTGTCACCTGTGAGATGAGTAAATGACACCCACGTCATCTGCATTATTTTTAATCATGCTATAGATTTCTGTATCACTTACGTCAAAGAATTTTTGCATTTCAGTGTGTTTAATGGGTGTATTGAATGTGATACTGTTCCCTTTGAGACATTTTGATGATTTCATTCTTCAACTATATGTGTGAGAAACAACTTCAGTAGGCTTTTGATAAAAGAATCTTTATGATCAATTTGAAATCTTCCTGAAATAATTTGGACTTTTTTGCCAGTGAAGATGTGGGTTAGAATTGATCTTCAGCAACCCATGCTTGTCGTAACAGTGAAATATTTTGTAGTGGACATTACATGATATTATGGGACCCTTGAGGATCCGGGGTAGAATAGGTCCAGGTCCAGGTAAAAGGGGCGACTGTGCTTGTCGTAAGAGGTGACTGACGGGATCCAGTGTTCAGATGTAGTGACTTGGTTGATGCATGTCATTGTATCACAATTGTGTAGATCTAAGCTCATGATGTCGATCACTGGATTGTCTGTTTTAGAGTTGATTATATACCGCCGTCATATGGCTGGAATATTGCTGAGTGCGGCCTTAAACAACTAACAAACAAACAAACAAACAAATCTTTTGGGGAATTATGATAAATTGTGTGCCTAAAAAAAGTAGTTCCAGAATAGTCATGGAGCTGTTCAATCTGGTGGAGAAATGTCACTGTGAACTTATATGTGCTCATGTACAAGAAAAAAGGTAGTATTTAATTATACTTCAATCAGTAATGTTTACCAACCCTCCAACTCTTTCCGCAACAAACTGCTTATGGTCACAGACAGTCCTGTGCTTCTTGAAGTCTCCCAAAATATATTTTAAACAGCTTGTGACCATATATGTAACTTCTCCAAATTTGAATGCAGATTTTCACAATATCAAAAAGTAAATATGCATCAGTTTAACATTAGGAGACAAATGACGTGCCAGTGATTCATGTTGTGTAAGACGACTCATTCTGTCATGTTTGGGGCATCGTTCCGAGCTAAGTTAACTGACTTTAAAAGTCCAGTTTCCACCCTTGCCGAACTAGGCTGGAATTATATTTTTGCTGCACTAACCAGTCTATGCGTAGTAAAAATCAAAATCGCGTAACAAAATTGACATCTGGTTCATAAACTGTGATGCAGATTTCTGTCAATTACAGGATTTGCAAATCACGTGAACCAACAACTTGGCGTCAACAGATGTTTACCAAATCTTTTTATGTTTTTAATCAAGGTGCTCATGGGATTTCATGCACTATGCAAATTATGACCCGTTTTATCACAATATAGATTTTGAGTATCGATCAGATCGTTTGACTAGGCGCAGCCATTTTGTTTGAAGCAAACATGGCAAATGCAGGTGATATGAGAGGTGGAATCTGATTGGTCAATAGAAGGGGCAAAGAAGGGTCATCATCCGTAATAGCCACTGGTGGAACTGGGATCAAGCCCAAATATTCCAGCCAAGTTTGGCAAGGGTGGAAACTGGACTTTTATAGTCAGCTAACTCTCTAGCCTCTGGAAGATGTGTTGGGTGTGATGTACCAGTGATTCATGTCATGCAATCTGCTGCACTCATTCCAAGATGTTGCATGGTTTGTTTGCCAGATCTCTTGTCTTAGTTCCATTATGTAATTATCCCCCGCCGCGCGAAAGCGCGAAGCGGGGGATATAGTATTCACGACCGTCCGTCCGTACGTCCCACCTGTTTGTTGCCGCGATATCTCAAGAACTAAACACTGGATTGTCTTCATATTTGGAACTATGGTGTATATACAGACTCCGCAGACACCAGTCGGTTTTGGTGACCTTGATCCCATTTTCAAGGTCACAGCAGACAAATCTGCTTTTAGAGTTGGAAAACGGTGTTGCCGCGATATCTCAAGAACTAAACACTGGATTGTCTTCATATTTGGAACTTTGGTGTATATACAGACTCCGCAGACACCAGTCGGTTTTGGTGACCTTGATCCCATTTTCAAGGTCACAGCGGGCAAATCTGCTTTTAGAGTTGGAAAACGGTGTTGCCGCGATATCTCAAGAACTAAACACTGGATTGTCTTCATATTTGGAACTATGGTGTATATACAGACACCGCAGACACCAGTCGGTTTTGGTGACCTTGATCCCATTTTCAAGGTCACAGCAGACAAATCTGCTTTTAGAGTTGGAAAACGGTGTTGCCGCGATATCTCAAGAACTAAACACTGGATTGTCTTCATATTTGGAACTATAGTGTATATACAGACACCGCATACACCTGTCAGATTTGGTGACCTTGACCCCATTTTCAAGGTCACAGCAGGCAAATCTGCTTTTGGAGTTAGAAAACGGTGTTGCCGCGATATCTCAAGAACTAAACACTGGATTGTCTTCATATTTGGAACTATGGTGTATATACAGACACCGCAGACACCAGTCGGTTTTGGTGACCTTGACCCCATTTTCAAGGTCACAGCAGGTAAATCTGCTTTTGGAGTTAGAAAACGGTGTTGCCGCGATATCTCAAGAACTAATCGCTGGATTGTCTTCATATTTGGAACTATAGTGTATATACAGACACCGCATACACCTGTCAGATTTGGTGACCTTGACCCCATTTTCAAGGTCACAGCAGGCAAATCTGTTTTTGGAGTTGGAAAACGGTGTTGCCACAATATCTCAAGAACTAATCGCTGGATTGTCTTCATATTTGGTACTATGGTGTACAGGCGGGGGATATTTCGTCACTCTGTGACAAATACTTGTTACTATTGAACTGCTGTTATTTGTGTCATTTGACTTTCTCACTGATCAAAATATGGAACTCATATGGACCAACATGCCCCACCTTCTTCTCAGCGTTAGAAATTGGCACGAGTCCTGTAGTCCTTACCAAACTGCCTAACAGTAAAGGTATCCTAAGGACTAGTAGAAATTGGCCCATTTTAAGGGTTTTGCTACATGTTGTCATTATAAGGACTAGTAGACAAAAGCTGTTAGTTTCTAACCCTGCTTCTGATTATCATTATGCCCAGCTTCAACAACACAGTTGCCCAGTCTAATGGCAGGGGAACTATTGTAAAGCACACTGCAGCAAAGCAAGCCAAACACCGATGGCAAAAAAAGAGACAGGAAGACAACATAGAACATTAAATTAAATCTCTGGATACACCAGAAATGTCAGATTCCTGTTTTTGCGTCCAAGTGTATCTTCTGTCGTGTCACTTATTGTGGTTATGAGAGAACTAATGACACCAGGCTGACTTTAGTGTGACAACGAGATAAGTGACAAATCCTTACTAAATATAGAAAAGTTGATGGCACCATCATCTCATACTGGTGAGTAATTGTCTGCTACTGTTGTTGCAGATTCACCATGAAGCCATGCTGGAAGAAAGAACGGCCCCCGGGTAAGTACTCCACTCACTAAACTGTGTTTGTTTTCATTACTTGATTCTCCTATGACTGGTATGAGCATCATGCTGACCCGAGAAGGTGTCTTTCTAATTTTGATGCGTCAGTGACAAAAATGATGTCCAATGCATTTCCTTATTTGGACTTGTGCCAATGTTCCCGTGGTCTTTTTCAGGTGAACAATTGCCTTGCTTTTGCATGTGTTTGTGAGGAATATCACCTTTTGGCCAACACCTGATGTCATCACTTTTTGATAGTGATTCATAAACACATGCCCATGATATAGTCATCATAGTTAAGGAAATGGTTTTGTTATTGTATTTACAACAAGTAATAAAGGGCTGTGCAAAAACATACAAGGAAAAGATATTTTAAGGGATGGTTCATGGTCCAAGCAGTTCAGATATGACATTCATTTCCTACAAGAGTCAATATTTCGGATAGATTTCCATCATGTTTTAGTTATTGGAAGCTGTGACCCATACAGAAAGTTTGATTTTTCCTGGGTACAGAAATTCTGCGTGTATGAAATATTTGCATTTTAACATATTCTACCCAACAAAAGTTTCTTGCTTGGGAAAACTAAAATGAGGATTGGTTGGTTACAATGTATGGCTGAGAGTGTTTTGTATCTTGTGGGTTCTATCAAGAGGTGACTGCAATGAGGATTGGTTGGTTACAATGTGTGGCCTCCAGGTGGAGAGTGTTTTGTACCTAGTAGGTTCTGGCAGTATCAAGAGCTGACTGCAATGAGGATTGGTTGGTTACAATGTGTGGCCTCCAGGTGGAGAGTGTTATTGTACCTTGTGGGTTCTGGAAGTGTCAAGAGCTGACTGCAATGAGGATTGGTTGGTTACAATGTGTGGCCTCCAGGTGGAGAGTGTTTTGTACCTAGTGGGTTCTGGAAGTGTCAAGAGCTGACTGCAATGAGGATTGGTTGGTTACAATGTTGGCCTCCAGGTGGAGAGTGTTTTGTACCTTGTGGGTTCTGGCAGTGTCAAGAGCTGGCTGCAGTGAGGATTGGTTGGTTACAATGTGTGGCCTCCAGGTGGAGAGTGTTTTGTACCTAGTAGGTTCTGGCAGTATCAAGAGCTGACTGCAATGAGGATTGGTTGGTTACAATGTGTGGCCTCCAGGTGGAGAGTGTTATTGTACCTTGTGGGTTCTGGAAGTGTCAAGAGCTGACTGCAATGAGGATTGGTTGGTTACAATGTGTGGCCTCCAGGTGGAGAGTGTTTTGTACCTAGTGGGTTCTGGAAGTGTCAAGAGCTGGCTGCAGTGAGGATTGGTTGGTTACAATGTGTGGCCTCCAGGTGGAGAGTGTTTTGTACCTAGTGGGTTCTGGCAGTGTCAAGAGCTGGCTGCAGTGAGGATTGGTTGGTTACAATGTGTGGCCTCCAGGTGGAGAGTGTTATTGTACCTTGTGGGTTCTGGCAGTATCAAGAGCTGGCTGCAGTGAGGATTGGTTGGTTACAATGTGTGGCCTCCAGGTGGAGAGTGTTATTGTACCTTGTTGGTTCTGGAAGTGTCAAGAGCTGACTGCAATGAGGATTGGTTGGTTACAATGTGTGGTCTCCAGGTGGAGAGTGCTATTATACCTTGTGGGTTCTGGCAGTATCAAGAGCTGGCTGCAGTGAGGATTGGTTGGTTACAATGTGTGGCCTCCAGGTGGAGAGTGTTATTGTACCTTGTGGGTTCTGGAAGTGTCAAGAGCTGACTGCAATGAGGATCGGTTGGTTACAATGTGTGGCCTCCAGGTGGAGAGTGTTATTGTACCTTGTGGGTTCTGGCAGTATCAAGAGCTGGCTGCAATGAGGATTGGTTGGTTACAATGTGTGGCCTTAAGGTTGAGAGTTTTTTGTACCTTGTGGGTTCTGGAAGTGTCAAGAGCTGACTGCAATGAGGATCGGTTGGTTACAATGTGTGGCCTCCAGGTGGAGAGTGTTATTGTACCTTGTGGGTTCTGGCAGTATCAAGAGCTGGCTGCAATGAGGATTGGTTGGTTACAATGTGTGGCCTCCAGGTGGAGAGTGTTATTGTACCTTGTGGGTTCTGGCAGTATCAAGAGCTGGCTGCAATGAGGATTGGTTGGTTACAATGTGTGGCCTTAAGGTTGAGAGTTTTTTGTACCTTGTGGGTTCTGGAAGTGTCAAGAGCTGACTGCAATGAGGATCGGTTGGTTACAATGTGTGGCCTCCAGGTGGAGAGTGTTATTGTACCTTGTGGGTTCTGGCAGTATCAAGAGCTGGCTGCAATGAGGATTGGTTGGTTACAATGTGTGGCCTTAAGGTTGAGAGTTTTTTGTACCTTGTGGGTTCTGGAAGTGTCAAGAGCTGACTGCAATGAGGATTGGTTGGTTACAATGTGTGGCCTCCAGGTGGAGAGTGTTATTGTACCTTGTGGGTTCTGGCAGTATCAAGAGCTGGCTGCAATGAGGATTGGTTGGTTACATTGTGTGGCCTTAAGGTTGAGAGTTTTTTGTACCTTGTGGGTTCTGGAAGTGTCAAGAGCTGACTGCAGTGAGGATTGGTTGGTTACAATGTGTGGCCTTAAGGTTGAGAGTGCTATTTTACCCGGTAGATTCTGGCAGAACAATCTACAATATCTTTGATTTATAAAGAAATCTATCCTGACCGACTTTCCTCTGCTTGTAGTCGGTGTTTTGCATCTATAAATATGCTCTCTTCCTACAATAGCTATGAGGAAAACTATAACATGAAGAAATGAAAACAAAACAAGGATAAGACTACAGAAATTACTGACATTTGGTAACCTGGTTGAGTAGGTAGATATTGACATTGTTTCTGCTGTCCAGTATGCAGTATTGATTCAGTGCTGTCTGCCCTCAGTGAACCTTGTATCCTATAGAACCAGCAGTTCCCATTCGATACTTGCCTTTCCTTCCTTTGTGTCACAAGACAAAAAAAAACACAATGAGGCAAAAATCAAAGTTGACACCAGTAGAAGGTTGACTGAGGCCTTCCATTTCCCTTGCGCAACGTATCACTGCTCAATAAAGATAGGACTTTAACCGTAACAACAGGAAAAGTCCAGCAGGATTTCAATGTTACTTTATCAAGCCAAGGAGTAAAGCTCCATCATTGATCGGAGCCCTGCTGCTGTTTTTCAGATCATAGTTTTCTACGGGTCTCCCCCTGCCGAAGCGTGATGGAGCATGTGGTGTTTGTGATGTGAAAGGGTTGTATCCCTGGTTGTGGGTTGTATCCCTGGTTGAGGGTGCCATCAACAGGGGAGTACTGCAACACTGATCCCTCATGGCAGATGCAAGGGTTAGGTTAGACGTGGCAGGGTGTTTCAGCAGGCCCTGCGTTCTGTCCTGGTCCTGACAGTTTAATCAGTTCCCATGGCAGCTTGGTGTTGAGGTACTGTAATTACAGGTCAGCCTGTACCACCAGCCCCGGGATCACAGTGAGGGAAGTAGTTAATTGTGGGAGTGTATTGTACACAGATAGGGTAAATTGGCCCAGGAAGGTGGACTGCTTTGTTTCAATTGGCTCTTTATACTTCACCCAAATTATGTCCGAACCGACGTTGGCCATCTGGAGTGAAGGGCTGTGTGAGATTGAATTGATGTCTCTGATGCCATTTAGACAACCATGTTATGGGGGACCCACATTGGATTTCCTTTCAAAGCATATTCATCTAAAGTTCAGTAAGGTTTTCATGAGAAACATAGATATTTTCCCCCATTCACTCATGTAATTTGATTATTTCTGGCGTATGGCCTGCTTGAAAGATGTTATCCAAGTTTCTGTTCAACCGATCTTTATCTGTCACTAATAACATTCAGACAGAGGCCATATCAAATCGGCCAAGTTTTTCAAGGAGAGGCTATCTGAACGAACACTGCATTGCGTTTATGTACAGTGTGTTGAGAAGATTAGCAACCCTGCAGAATCCTTCGATTGGATGAAGTCAGCTGGCCTGAAAAGTGAAACAGAAGGCTGTCAGTTTGCAGCTCAGGACCAGTCATTTCCCACTCGAAACTGTCAATGTGTGATTTTTCATCAAAATGTAAATATGAAATGTAGAATATGCAATGAATTTAATGAGACTGTCCAACACATTGTCAGTGTATGCCCAGCTTTGGCACAAACACAGTATCTTAAACGACATGTTGCCATGCTTGTGGTTTTGAGAGAGGTCCATCAGTGGTACGACCCAGAAAATGGAAAATGATAACTAAAATATTCTTTAGAATAGGCCTGTATACAGCCTTAGACCTATCCAGGCCAACAAACCTGATCTTGTCCTTTTTTTTCATAAATCCAATGAAACCATTTTTATCATTGCATTCTGTCCCTTTTGATACAAATGTGATTGACAAGATTCAGGAAAAACATGGTAAATATGCCGAACCTCGCTTTCAAAATGTCATGTTTGCATCCCAAGAATGAATTTGTCTGACTCCCCATTGTTCTTGGTGCCTAAGTCTGTTGACTGACATTGGGAGAGTACCCAGGCTGTCAGGAATACAGCCCTTCTGACAATCTGGGTAATGCAGAAGGCTGCAGTGTTTGGGAGTCTTCACATTTTCTGTAAAGCTCTGGATGGGTTCGACTAGTAGTGCTTCCTCGGAGAAGTCCCATTCGAAGTCTAGGCTTCATGTAGAGGGGGCAAGAGCCCTGAGCTGATGATGAGCCTAACCAGCCTGGCTGTGCCAGGATCACCAAAACCCTCTTTGCTGCATTTTATATTTTCATCTGCAAATATTAATAATAACGGTAGGAAGGACAACAGAGGGAGATCAGTTTGAAAATGAGTTGTTGAAAAATAGGTGGTCTGATTATGCGAAGATTTGATGTCTTAAAGCAACGCATTCCATTTGATGGCTGCTGCATTTTGAAAGGATCTCTTTCCATATGTAGAGGATTTTATAAGTGGTACAGACATAAGCATCTTGTCGTGAGATCCAAGCACTGCTTCGTTTTAGTAGTTTACTCTCCCTTGGGATTCCAGGGCAGAAAAGGTGTGT